GTCGTTGGTATGCATAAATAAAATGTTTAAATTTCACTTAAAGTATAAATTCGTTTTAAGTTTAAGTGTAAATACCAAACGAAATACATGTAAACTATGAAAGTAAATAAATTTGAAAATTTCTAACAATAAAATGGAACGTAAAATCGGAAATTATAATAATATACATAGGTCATAATTAAAGAAATAATTAGTTGATACAGCTGATATGTGTGCAGTGGTACACCCAGTGTTGTAAGTGGCAAGTTGGGAAGGTAGAATACACAAGTTATTTAATTTTTTTTAAATTTATGATAGCAACAATAAACATAAAAATATTCTGAGCGAAGTTCGGTTTTACATGTTTTGAAAGTCCGTAGTATTTACGATTTGAAAACAATACATTTCGTCAACTTTCCCGTTTTGCCTACGGTTTTTTGCTAGTTTATTCCATTAAATATGAAAACCCCTTGTAAAATCAAAAATTGAATTTCTCGTAGTTTTTTATTTATATATAGCACCTGCAAAATAAAAACAATAAACTCGAAAATTAGAAATGCCTTTAAACACCTGTACCCTAACTCTTGCTTGTATTAATTATAAAACAAAATAAATAAATAAATAGTTCAGACATGATATATTATTCATGGCAGCCGTTGTATATTATGTTAGATTAGGATATAAGTTCTTAATTTCACTAAAATAAGTTTGAATTTTATGAATAATATTTTTTCTATAGAAATGTGTTTTTAATTTAATTTCTTTATCACGAACTAGATCCAAAGATAAACAAACGATATCTTATGTCATTTTTTGTGTAAAGCAAAAAAAAAAAAAATCGTAAATATTTGAAATAATAAAATCGGTATAGGCATAGTGATCACTACATGAAGTATGTATCTTTTTTCGGTTAGGTAAAGTAGCAACTACTTGAAAAATCAAAAAATTACTTTTCGATCAACTAGATCTAAAATGCAAAATATTTTAGGGGTGTAAAGTTGGCATCATTTGGTTAGCAGAACATTCTAAAATCCAACAATGTTCAGACGGACTTGTTGGACATTGTTGGAAATTTGTAGGAATTTGTTAGAGTTTTCTTTTTTAATCTTCGCATGTATTCTTTTGTAATACTTACTTCGCATTTAGCATTACATGTATACTAAAACCATTCGAAAACCTTCCAAAAGTGTTTAAATACACTTGTAAGATATTGTTAGCACACCTTTTTAAATTTATTTCAATTCGAACTTTCTACTAATAACTTCACACTCAGCATTACAAATTTATCAATAAATGCTAAGAAATTTCTTTGAATTTTTTAAATGGAGGAAGTTTTCTAGAAGAAAATCTGTTTACAAAAAAGCAAAGAAAAACACATATAGTATAACCAAAATAATACTCGCAACATTAGAAATTTAATAAACAATAGACTTAAGATTTTAAGAAATCAAAATGTTTAAGAACTTAAATAATATATATAAGAAATAAATTAAATCAAGAAAAAAATCGTGGAAACAAAAGAGAAAATAGTAAAATAATTAATTTCAATTCGGTATGGGTACTGCTGCTACTGTTTTCTATTGGAATTGATACTTCTTTATCCGATAGCACGACAACAGATTGTGGCCGAAGTCTCAAAGGATTGTTTGAAGAATTATGATATATTATACACCTATATAAAAAAACAAAATTTTAAACAAAATACAATGTAAAGTTTTTGTCCAAGATTTGTGTACTATGGTCTAGAAATATAACTATTATAGCTACACACGCGCACACACACACAATAAAATACGTTTCATTTACCCTTCGCTGTAATTTGAATTTTCACTGCCTAAATAAACGTACCAATTTTCATTGATATCGTTTAACGTACTGGATAATACGATTGACTTGGTTTCACTGCCGTAGTTCATAACAACCAAGTATGATTCGTGTTCGGATAACGATCTAAAACCAAAACAAGTATAAAATTCATTTTCGCGTTCCTCATAAAAATATTTATATTTTAATTTAATTAGGTACCTTTTTATAATATAAATAGATTTTGAAATAATATACGTGTGCAAATCACCGTATTTAAGCGTATTCGTCTTTCGTAAATGAGACATCTTTTTATAAAAATTATACTGGCTTGTTGGTATTTTTTTCTGCGCTTCGACATTAAGTTGATAATAATTTGGATTCACAGGTAACCATGGTTTTTTCGCTTCAGTAAATCCTATAGATGGTTCATTATAACAAAATTTTTTTATAATGGTTTTTTTACCTATAAGTTTCTTAAGAACTAAGCGTAAAAACTTAGATGTTATAAATAGAAGGGACGTTAAACAATTAAAATATTTCAATTTTAAATTACTTTGGTAATCTACGTTTTTAGAAACATAATAGTTTATTTTGATTTAGATTCAATTTTCCAGTTTAAAAGAAAATGTTCTCAATTCAAAATATCCGTGATAAATAAAAAGGAATAATGCCTGTCAACCAAATATTATGCATACCATAAAAAAAACTTTATGTAATAAAATTGTTTGTATACTAACCAATCATAAAATAATTAATATGATATTAAAATTAGTTTTCCATACTAACCAGCGTTTATTGAATCGTCCCATTGCATTGGACTCCTTTNTCTTACAAATGTATTTTCCATGCCAATTTCACTCCCATAATATGTCACATCGACACCCGGGAGCGCCAACTTTAACGCTGTAAACAACGGTACGGTTTCAGCACCATATTTAAATGACATCCTGAGATTGTCATGATTTTCCATCTAAAATGTTTTGGACAACACAGTTAATTTATGTTCGGAATCTTTTGTTTCAGTTCTATCAAGTATCAAAGAATTGATAGTTTATAATATGCATAATAAAATAATAGCTATTTATCAAAATATACTTAACATTTTACTATTATTAATGTAAATTACAATTATTAATTTTTGAATTACAAATATTGAAATATATACATTTTAATACATATATTTCTTAAATCTATACTCACACACACACACCTATAACGTCTACCAGGTGATCTACTTAAGTCTGTACACTCATTATCTCGGAAAGTATTAACTTTTTCCAGAATTAGTTTTCTAGAAAATTTATGAAACGAGCTGTTCTACAAATTATTTTACTAACATCTATCTATAGAATTTTTTATGGGTTGCCATTTGAAAATCAAAATTTAGTACGCAGTGGTTTTTCCCCACAAAAATAAAGGGTTAAAAAAAAAAAATACATATTAAATTGTAAAGCTGATAATTTGTTTCTTAAATGTTCAAGAAAACAAATTCCGATTAAAGTTAATAATTTCCGAGTTAATTATTGTTCCTACAAAAATGGATCACCCAGTATAATATATGGTTTCTTCCACGTAAAACAACTCTAGGTAGTGCATTAATTTTAATGCATTAAATACAGTTATCGAATTTGATATTAAAATACTCTTACCACCCAATTCGGCACCATATTTTTTGGTATATTTTCAACCCAGTGTTTGATACTTTGGTCTGTTTGTTCGACTAAATTTGTTCTATCCATAGTTAAAAATTGAAAATTAAACGGTATTTGAACTCCCGGACTAGTTTCGTTGCCATAATATTGCATTAATACACGTATTGACGCGTATGATTCAGTAGCCATTAACCTTTTAAAACAAATCGTTTCGATTAGAAAGAACTGTATAATATACATTAAATATTATACTCAATGCATTAAGTTTAGTTTACATTGAAAACGAATCTATTAAGGTTGGAAAACGTACATTGTGTGGAATATTGTGTGAACGTAAATATAATTACATAACACGAAATTGAGAAAGTCATTTCAATTTCACGAAATAGACAATTTATCGTAAAAATAATATTTCACAAAGGGACTACAACATAGGTGAAATTTAGACTTGAGCAATATTATACAAATATTATTGTTGTTATTTGTCTTTTACATACATTTTTCAAGGAAATCACTTTTAGTCTAATTTGGCAACGAATTATTAATTTTGAAAAAAGGTCTTGTGGTTTTTGGAAGGTAACCGGTTAAAACGCCGACAGTCAAAATACCGACAGATTGAAAAGTCGACTTTGACAACATCGAAAATAACGGATAATCGACAAACCAAAGTTTATTACTTCCAAAGTTAATATTGACAAATTAAAATATACTGTGTAATAGTATTGTGGTTAGTGGGTTAAGCAAGGTTATGGTCCTATCCTTTATACTTCAGCCAAATGAATGAAGGAAATTAATCGAAAATAAACCCCGATTTGTTATGCAAAACGACGTTGAATAGTATTTTTTATTTCATGTGCACTGCGTGCACTATGTTAATATGCGACATGATTATCATTTTAATCTGTCGAACGTTTTGATTGTCACCGTATCGTATTTGAACTAAACCCGTTAAGAACTATTTTAGATACATACACTGAATATGTTTTGTTTTTGCTTTTAAAGTAATCATCTAAGTGTTTCCTCCAAATTGGAAGAATGTCAATGATTTCAGGTTGATTTAATGTATATATATGACTTAGATCGTCATATTTTGAACCTTCTTTACCAGGAATAATTGGTTCATCGAGGAACGAGACACTTTCATACATATATCTAACAGCATCAAGTCGGAATCCAGATACACCCTTGTTCAACCAAAATTTCATTATGGCCTATAGAAATCGCACTTTATATTATAATTGTGGATAGAATATTTCGAATATTGCGTACTTACAAGTAATTCAGTATGCACTTGATGATATCTTAAATTAAAGTCCGGTTGTTGGGGAAAGAATTGATGGAAATAAAATTGTTTACGTTCCTCATTCCAAGTCCACGCACTAGACTCAAATCGACTGAGCTAAGAAAAATTGAATTGATAAAAGTTCACAAATTAGTTTTAGTTTTTTTTTTCTACGGAATGTTATAAAAACAGATAATTTATTATAAATATTATTTTATGACAATTCCCATTTTTTTCCGTTTTATTTCTCAAAATATAAGCATACAATTCTAATTACATNATCGTATTTTTCATCTCGTTTGATTGATTTTTGAAACCATTCACATTTGTCACTTGAATGATTTGGAATAATGTCTATTATTAATTTCAGATCTAAAGGAGAAATACTTAAAATAATAGTTATAATTAATCAATATTTGTGTTATTTTAATTTTAATTTACTCCGTTTGTTCATTTCTGACACTAATTCATCAAAATCTTCCATAGTACCAAAAATAGGATCTATCATTGTAAAATTGTCTACATCATAACCCATGTCAATCATTGGTGATTTGAATATAGGGCCTACCCACAAAGTTTCTATACCAAGGTCAACGAAATGGTCGAGTTTCTGGGTTATTCCTGAAATTTTTCTATAATTGGCATAATTGTTTTTCGTTTTTTGGTATAGCAATAGAACAACAGTTTTTACCTTTTAAATCACCTACACCATCGTTATTACTGTCTTTAAACGATCTTGGATATGCTTGATATATTATTGTGTTTGGCCACCATTCGTTGTCAATCTTCCTTGATGGAAAATAAACATCTCCATTTATTGCTAGTGTATAATATACTAGCGTAAGCCAACACACGGTGAAAGTCTTCATATTATATTTTTTTTAAAAATATTTACATACAAGTCTTAATTTTAACTATTTAAATTATTTAAAATTAAAAATTGATAATTAAAGTTGTGTATAAATTAATTGTTGAAAAACAATGTTTATCCGATATTTTTTTTTTAAAATTAATTATTTTAAACGAAACCGTGACATTAAATACTATTTGAGATTATTTCAATTCGATGTGTTCACTGTTTATCGACTGAAGAAATGAAATTACCATAAGTATGTAATTGAAATTGATTAATATTGATATGTTGTAACTGCGAGAAGTACACGCAACTACAAAATCATACACGATTTGTTATAACCTTAAATGGTTAATGTCATAAATCATTAAATTGTTTAATTAGTTAATGTATAAGTATTAGTGAATTTATAATCTACGAGATTAGAATATGCCAAATTTTTTTTATTATTTTATAATATTTTATATTTTAAGTGATTTCTTATAGTATAATGCCTATTGGCTTTTACATCGCTTGTTATTATTACGTGCTTTGCGTTTGACAACCAATACAGAACGTTTCATTTACCATCAACCAGCTATTTGCTTGGAGGATTTTATGTGAATCTGCTTTCTGGTTTTCTAACTATTGTGGGATCCTTAGAGTTTTATTTTACCATTATTTAAAATTTTTTGCTCTACTCATTATATTCTAAACTAATATACAATATTCTCATATAAGAACCCCTTATTTTCAAACACAGTTTAAATTATGTAGAATGCCTTTCAATTAATTAAGATATGCATAACATTAGTATCTTATTTACCGCATAGGATGTGCTATAACCGTTTAAAATTTAGTTAGGGTGATTAGAGAATGATTATTTGTCATCTAAAAATTAATGTGAAATTTTAATAAACTTTCGCATAAATGTTAAACTATCATTATAACTGTTATTAATTCTATAAAACCTATTGGTGTAGTGCATATCAAAATGTTAAGAAAATATTCTCTACGATTGAAAAAATCTTGACATCAAAATCATTTAAAATCGCTGGTGAATGATAAATAGATCATTCTGTATGCGCAATCATAGGCGCGCGGATGTTTAGATTTTGGTAACACTCGCAGGTTTTTTAGTTTTTGTACAGTAATCCCTCGTTTTATGCACATTTTTTAATTTTTCATTATTATTACAACAGCGAAACATTACATTTATTTCCACAAGATATTTGTACCAACAAACTTTTATTCCAAAAAATATTTATTGAGACGTAATGTACATTTTTCACAATTTATCAGTTGTATCATTAATTTAATAATAATTTTTAAAATTGTATAAAAAATTATAAAATCGTTAGCCATACATTTAGATCTTAGCGATTGTGTACAAATTATACAATAATGTAAACATTACGCATGTTTATACTCATCTATGGTTACTATAATGGTTATTATAATATACACATAGGTACGGCTAATAGCGGTGATGGGGGTGGGGGGTATGGACACAGGCCAACTGTGTCCCTTTTCCACAAATACGCCACTGAGTCAAATATTTTTAAGTCAAATTAAAATATAAATATGCATTTATAAAGTATATGTATCATTTAAAATACAAACACCATTATTCAAATATGTTAGTAGGTGCTTGTACACATTGAAATATAGATATTACTTCTTTGTCATAATTTCATATTTTAGATTCGGAGCGGAGCGAGTTTTACAATCCAGTTTTATTGGTTTTACAATAAAGTTTATTTTATTTTCTGTGGACAATTATTCCACCAGAAACCTCGCTCTGATTTACGAGTGTAGCAATTTTTCTGAAAAAAAAATCTAACTGGGAATGTACTTTATAGAGGTATTTTTTCGGAAAAAAAGATGATAAAACTGAAAAAACGGGAAAATAGGTACAATATTTAACATGCATTATTAAAGAAAATGTTAAATGCATATGTATAATTATTTTACCATAATATGACATATATATTGTTAGCAAAGAAACACCTATAACTGCACTCTGCTCAGAATTATTTTTTCGACCAATAAATCCTTTGCTACGCTCTAAATCTAAAAATATATAATAATCATATTAAAATCTCTTAGTATAACTTACTCTCATCTACACATTATGTGGTTATTAAAAGCAAATTCGAAACAAATTGAAAATTTCATATTTGCATGTGTGAGCAGTTCATAGCAAAATTAAATAAATGTATGAAAATAAAAAAGGTATAATTTTATTAACTTTATCCGGGAATTAATAATGCATATATAAGAATTATTTTATCAAATCAATCGACGAATAGCTGTTTATTAGTAGTTAAAATAACAATGTGACACGAAAATAAAATTTTTTTATTCGCAATTGCGATTAAAATGTTAGCTAAATATCTTCCGCCGAATGTTAAAGACGACAAATCTAAATCGTTGTAATAATGCGTTATATACACTCTGGAGGCCAACAATATATGAAGAAATAAACACCAATACATGTTAATATATGGAAAATACGAAGTGATGAAAAGTACAATTACTAGTTATAATAGAAATGGAGAAATAGGTACCGCGTAAAACATTTCGGCTACGGTAATGTTAGGTAAGGTTAGGTAATTAAGGATGAAAGAAAAGATACAAGTAAAAGGGCACTGGGCATTGGGAAAAAGTAAACTCAGAAGGTACTGTCATAAAGGGTACTGGAACTTATACTGGTTCGAAATGCGGCGTATAGGAAATACAAATAAACCGTTACGCGGTCACGTGTATCGTGGGGTAAATGTAAGTTTTTACACGAGACCCAGCCGATAAAAAGAAAAATATAGATATGCCAGTTTATACAAAATGCTCTCGATCCACGATTATTTCATTTTTTTTTTTTTTCGTATAATTTAATGTGCCCCGTTAACTAACAGTTAACACCTGTGTATTAATTGTCGAATGACTTAGGAGCAGAACTTGATATGGTTAGGTAGCGGTGTTTCGAAAAAACATGTTCACGACTGATAAACGCGAACAATTATAAGACGACCGTATACGTGTGTTTCGTTCATTCCTTTAATTGGATAATGATAACGAGAGTATCAATGATTTATATCTGTAAAACTAATAAATATTGTATTGCATTACAATTCACAATTTAGTGATACCACAATGTGCCTCGTAATTTTTAAAGAAAAGATATTTCTCGAGATAGAGAAGAAAGATCATTGATCTATTTCGCTGAACTTTATTACAGATTTCATTGACCCACTTCATGTAAGCTGATGAAGCTTGTGTTGGAGATAAGGAGTTGAGAATAATACAAATATAAAAAAGATGCCCTAAGATAATGGAGGCGGGTGCAGCGACTGTTTTGTATAATTTAATGTAAACCAGTGAGCAACGATAAACTATTGCTTACGAAAAAATAATTCGGAGCGGAGTTCAGTTGATAGTGATGTTTTGTCAACAATATATATATATGTCATTTTATAGTAAAATAATTGATATATATTTTCTTTAATAATGTCCGTTTAATATTGTACGGATTTTCCCAGTTTTCCAACATTTTCCTGGTCATTCCAGAAATCCGAGCCAGTTTTCCGGCAGAAAAGTCGTACACAGATAAAAAAAACAAAAATATCTTTGTGAACCTATGGGGTTCTTCGATCAACTCAGAATCAAAAAGACGGACATACTTTTCTCGCGAGTGCAGCCACTGTCGTTGGTGGAAAGTTGGGAGGATACAGATGATAATTCAATGTATATATGTAAGCAACGATAAACCATTGTTAACGAAAAAACGATTTTGAACCGAGTTTAGTCGATAACGTTGCTTTGTTAACAATAAATCCTACTAATCCTACTTATATAATAAATATAAAAGTTTGCGAGGAAAGATTATTCCTCGAGGATGTACGGATGTTTGTTACTCTTTAACGCAAAAACGATTGAACGAAATTTGTTGAATTTTTATATAGAGATAGATGTAACCTTGGAGAAAAACATTGGACAATTTTGCCGCGAAAATAAAACTTGGAGGAGATGAAATAGGGCATGAAAGATTTTTAAATATTTTTGGTACGAAAATTAAATAATTTTTGATGAAATATGTAATTAATTAAATAATTATTATTGTAACACGAACAAAATGATAAACAAATTAAAACAAAAAAATAAACAGAGATAAAATTACCATAACGACTATAAAAACTTAAAATAAAACCTCTAACTGTCCGCCAGTCTATTATTGGCTTGAAATAGGATGCTACTTTGGTAACATGTATGAAAACAAAACAAAAAACTATGTGCTGTACTGCGTTGGTAAGTGAAAAATGAAAACGTATAAAACGTTATCTCTGAATCTTTGTATTTTTTTGGTACAGTAAAAACACTAAATTACTATTATAACCTTGTAATTTTAAGATTATTATGGACTATAATATATATACAGTTTAATCCTTGTGTTATGCGTGTATCTATGGTATCACGAATGAAACATTGTCAGATACACTAGAACAGATTTAATCCGCGGACTACCCACTTTCCATCTATTTTTTTTCAGTTCAATATATTTATACAGACAAAGCGAAACGGACATAAAGGTAAAAAGAACATAAAATTAGCACGGGCAATGTTATGCCAGGTATGGGATAGCTAGTAAGTCATATTATGGTAGAATAATTACATATGTAATGAACAGTTTTGTATTAATAATATTTATTTAATAATGTACTTCTTTACCCGGTCTCCCGGTCTTTTCCGATTTATTGAGAAAACTCTTAGGAAAAGCAAAAAATTACCAAACGTTTCTCCCCAGTCAAATTTCATTTCAGAAAATGTGTTATAATTGTAAATCGGAAAAATATTTCTGGTAGAAAATTTGTTCACAGATAAAAAAAATAATAAACATTTATTAGTATAGGAATTTAAATACTATAAACGATATTATGCGAATTGCTTAATTGATTAAATTAAATATTGTTATTAATCTGTCTATCAGACCTGTTTATTTTAGTCAAACCGCTCCAACTAAAGTAACCGAACTTCAGAAAACTTTCTTACCAACTAAAAATGGACGGTTACAAAATTCATTTAATTAACTGTTTACTAGAAAGGGTAGCATGGTTACGCTAACCACCGACCAAAAACGTAATCACTCAGTTTACTTACAGCTATAAAGTAAAAAAAAAAACGCTTAATGCAGTTAGACTTAAAGCGACTTCATAATGCGATTTCACGCTATCTAAAAATTAAATAAATCATAATAATTTGGATAAAAATACTCATGTACATGTACGGTAGGATGCGAAATGGAATTTAATGTATTCTAAGGAGAA